ATTTAATAATTTAAGGTAAAAAAAACAATGCCGGATATGCGATTTTGTGTAGCGGTCGTCGTAAAACTGCTAATTGAGCACAAACTGCAGAATGAATTTGTAGGCCATATCAGTCTACCGAATGGATATAATTTCATATCAGGAAAACTTTTAGAAAGTTAATAAAAAATGTATGATGGTGGCCTTTTAAGACACAAATCGCAGAATTGGCAATTTACTTGCATAAATGTAAGCTCTATCTAGATTCAAATAAAAAATCTTAATACAAGTTTTTGTTATTTTTGAAAATAACTAGTCGATTTAATAATAAAAAATCGACCTGTTTAGTTTTCCTCAAATGTCTAGGAAGTTGGCCTTATCGAAATCACAATATTGTGCATTTAAATTGTCTACAACCTTTATTATAAATTTAATAAAACGCCAGCCCCTATTTATTTACAATATTTAGCGTGATATGAACGCATTATTTTCAGGGATACACTGACTAAGTAGTTACTTATACGCGGACAAACGGTATATAGAATCAAATTATTTCGAAACAATTCCGTGAAAAAATAGTACTTATTAACTGTCATGTGTTATATTTTATAATTTTCACATGTTAGTTGTAAATTATCGATCCATACATAAAGACGAATTATTAAAGGTATGGATGCCGATATAATGATTTTTATGATTCTCAGAAAAGCCGTGAAAACAAGTGAGAATATATAATATCGAAAATAAATTAATGCATGATTTATTGTATAATATATTTTTGTAATTTATTGATCGTTAAGGGAATCATTTTTAAAATAAAATATAATTATAAAGAGATCCTAAATATATTTTTTTTTCTATTAATGACCAATAACTAAAGGGTAACATTATTTTTAGAGGTTTCTAAATACCAGGTACCTACCAGTTGATTTTTGGGTCGATTAAAAAAATTTTATATACCGTAGAGGTATATTTTTCAACCGATTGCACACCATCAAAAAAGTATACCCAGAGCCAAATTTGCCTACATCAAAATTACTTTTTTCTACACCCACATGGATATTAGCTTATCTACGCACAGATTACAAAACAAAAAAGTATGCTATTGCCTTCAACTGAACGAATATATTTCATATCCATTCTAGGTAGTGAGAACACTGCAAACAAAAATGAAATCGACCAATCACAGTTCATATTTTAATCAATCGACTGCTTTTACTTTTAAAATTTTAAATAAGTGACAATTCTGTCAAACTAATTGTCAGTATATTTTTTAGTTGCTGGGGTTAAAAACATACATTAAAATGAGTTATTCTTGTGTAGTATCGATAAATAATAGAATTTATATTTTTATTTCATCTATAATTATAAATAATTTGTTAATTTAAATAAAACTATATGAAGTTATTTTAATTACGAGTATTAAAGCAAAAAAAAAATAAACGCGTATATGGTCCTGTGGTCAGAGTTCTTGCCTTCCATATGGAAGACTCGAGTTCAAATCTCAGATGGAGAAAAATTAAATGATTTTTTTCTTGTTTTTTATTTTATAAATTAGTAAAAGTCATAAATTATTTTATCTTAATAACCTAAAATAATTTTTAATATTTGTATATTTTCGTTAGTGGGTCGTAGAAAAAATATACTGTATAACTCGAGTGGATTGTCCATATCGCACATAGACGATTGAGCACTTCGCCTACGGCGTCGTATTCAAATTTCGTCTTCGTGCGATATGGCTATCATATCCACTCTTGTTGCACAAACTACTATTACAACACACTATAATTTTTTTCCATATCAAAAACGAGTAATTTTTTTAGATTTTTAGATTTCACTATTTACAACTCTTCTAAATGAAAAATTTTTAATAACAATGTTATAACATTAAGCTTGAAAATGTATTTTCCGAAGCCTTATTATCTGCTAATGAAATCGTACTTATCTGAAAGTTATTTCCATACAAAATACAATTAAGATGTCATCTTATAAAATCAGTCATATCGCTGATGTGATCTCAAAATGACGTCCTTTTCGTCATTTTGTGACGTTATTTTGACGTTAATTTGTAACGATACTATGACGTTAGTTATTCCTATACGTTAAAAAAGACTCTATGGGGCTTATAATAATATTACAGATAGATAATAAAAATAGTTTTTATTTTAAAATAATTACATATAAAAATATATTAAAAATTAGCATCAAACACCATGAATACTGGAAATAAAATTACTGCAATAAAAGCAAGTTCTTTATAAGTAAATCAATTACTTATATTTTTCAAATCCATTGTTAAATGAGGTCGCGGTGAGGTCAGTGAGCTCTCTGGATACTTTATCTGATTTATACTTTAGATTTACCTGTATTATAAATTACAACATTCATAGATTATTCTACTATACCAGTAGCTGAAATAGAGAAAACACTAGAAGAAAAGAAGATCTGCACCTCACTCTTTCTAGATGTAGCTCAGGCTTTCGATAAAATATAGTTAGAGGGTCTTGAATATAAAATAAATAAACTTCTACCTAGACAATATTGTGACATCTTAAAATCTTGACTGATAGAATCTTCCGAGTTAAACAAGAAGAAACTAACGCAGGGATGCCTCAAGGAATTGTTCTGGAACCAGTTCTTTACCTGTTGTTTACCTTCGACATACCACAAACGCAAAATGTGAAAGTAGCCACATTTGCCGACGACAAGACCATACTTGCCATCGGTAAAACCATAGAAGAATCGACCAGAAAACTTCAACATGCAACTAATAAAATCTATGAGTGGACAAAAAGATGGCGCATTAAGCTCAACGAAACTAAAACAGTTCAAGTTAACGTCACTAATAAAATATCAGTAAAATACCTACCAGTAACATTAAATAATACTAGAATACCATATTCTAATTCGACGAAATACTTGTGAATGAACCTAGATATTAAATTAAAGTGGAAAGAACACATAAAGGAAAAACGGGAAGAGTTGGGTATTAAATATAGAAAATTATACTGGTTGATGAATAGAAAATCAAAACTATCAATCGAAAATAAACTTTTAATAAACTGAAGCCAGTATGGACTTACAGCATACAGCACTGGGGTGTGCCAGTAAAACTAACATAAATATAATACAACGTTTCCAGAACGAAATATTAAGGGCAATAGTAAACGCCCCTTGGTATGTTAGCAACTCAGACCTACACAGACATCTGAGAATGCCTAGAGTCGAAGAAGAGAGGAAAATCGCAAAAAAACATGAAAAAAGACTGCATGATCTTGTCAACATCGAAGTTCTACAGTTCCTGAATAACCGATACCTAATGAGAAGGCTTAGAAGAACCAAAAGCAGAGCACAGTGCGCGTGTGCAGTGTATAGTTATCAGAACAGAAAGTAGAAGATACCTGTTGCGGGGATCCGCTAACTTGCTGTGAGAATTCGCTATTTCAATTTTTAATTTTATACCCAAAATGTAATTAATAAGTTCGATTTCTTTGCTGACTTTTTTATTTCGTAATTAAGATAAACAAGTAATACAGGATGAAAAAAATTGACAAAAAGTAAATAACAAATATTAACTGTTACTAATTAACAGTTAATGAGTACGCCACAAATACTCACCCTCAAAAGAAAATAAAAAGTACCAATTAATTGCAAATCGAACCTGTTTCTGTTTTGATCCATCAGAGACCTCATTTTTATTATCATTAAAAATATAAGCAGGTTTAGTACGATTCAGGTGAATAGGTATCAAATTATTGTTTTGTTTGATATAAACGTGATTTTCTGAGCGTTTTTCAACTTTGTATGGACCTTCATAAGGAGTTGTTAAACTAGATCTTTTCCCGGGTGCTTGAATGAAAATATAATCCCACGTTTTTAGATCTACAGGTACAAAGGGTTCTTTAGAAATATGCGTGTTGAAATTATTCAAAAATTTGTGTTACGGTTGATGATGTCTAAATTTTCATGTGCATTGGATGTAACAAAAAATTCACCTGGGGCGCTTTGTCCATATTTCTCGTACATCGAGCGCCCGATGCTTTTTTTTCATAATAATACTAGTATTTTCCATTTATTATTGTTTTAAGCTTATTTGAAAAATTATTTTTAACTTTTTAGTTTGATATGCTCTAAAAGCGTGTTTTTTAGTTTTTCTAAACTATATTTATTGAATATGGTAACCATTGATATTGATTATTCCGTATCTCCATCTGGTACTACGCGTATCCTTTTGACACCGTGTCGAAAGGTTGTGGAGCAAACCGCTTAAATAATAACATGTTACATTATTATCGAAATGTTTCATAAAGTCATGAATCATAAATAATAAGTATTTTATCGGATGATATAATTAACACCGGATTTTATTTTATAAGTTGATTTCTCTATACTTTTCGCAACTTTTATGCTCACATTTTTCCTAAATAGGTCACATCAGGTTCTTCGTTTAACGTTTACAAATTTCTTCCTTTTTCCTAATTTATTGGTACAATTAAATTTTATTACAACATCAAATGGAAAGAATTTGCTTCTTTTGTAGAACACTTTCGTAAGCTCCTCTACTAAATCTTCTTTAGAAGCACGTATATGTGATTAGACGGTAGTAAAGATTGCAATTAATTGAAGAATCTCGTTATTTTATCTAAACGCCGATACGTGTTTAAATAATTCTCGCCCGTTTTGCAAATTAATTAGACTATATACTTACGTGAAGATATCTAAACAATAAATACGGATTATCTATGATTTATTCTAAAGAAAAAATCAATTTATTGGAAATTGTTTATTCAAATTAAATAAAGGATTCTATTTGACAATTTACATGCAGGTTGCAAGAATGTTCATTAACATTTACGAGAGCATATTCTTAAGCTTTGCCAAAGTTTATCTTTCTCATAAATTTTAATGAATTTTCTTGCAACCGGCTGAGTATGAGTTCGAATTATTACCAATTTTTAAATGCTTTGGACCACATTTTAATTTGAGATTTAATTTACAAAATCAAATAATTCGGCTGGTGTTTAATATTGGGCAGCACGGTCCTTTATTGGTAATACCAGCATTAATTTTACAATATCTGTAACCACTAATGTGTTATCACTTAAATAGTGTGGTGTTCCACAAGGTTCTATTCTGGAGCCGGTTTTATCTCTACCTTTACTTTGCTGAATTGCTACACGTTTTTTCATTCTCAATTTTTTGTTATGCCAATTGGTTTCCAATGTAGTATCTTGCTGTAAACGTTATAGCCAAATCTATTCAAAAATGGATGCTTACAGGTACAATAAAATAATAATAATACTAGTAGATAAATTCGGTATCGGACACTTCATAAATTGAGTAAAAATACCCGAAAATCAGGTAAAGTCCTCGCCGTTGGCAACGCTGTTGTAAATACATTAGCGAATTTAACGAATTTTTACTCGTAACTATGATCAATTTTAGCCATGTTTTCTTTTGTTTTTAAATAAGAGTTGAAACAGCTGTATAATAACTGTCATCCACCGTGATCTTGATACGAGGGAAATGTAAAATGATACAGAATATGTCAAAGAGACGAAATACATTCAGGAGACCAGGAAAAGGTCGTGATGATAAGCCAATTTTCTTCTATCTTCATTTTATTCAGCCTCTACTATTAACTATTGCTGGACAGTCTTCCTCTTTTTTCCAGCTTGATCCAGCTTGGTTCAGCTTGTCTTTTTAGAAGGTTTCTATACCTTATTTAAAACACTCCCCCACTTTCTGTTGTACTCCCACTACCCCCACTATCTGATATCCAGCATTTATCTTTGTGTCATCGCAATGTTATTATTTTCTCTAGTCGTAATATACAGGGTGTTTCACATGTAGACAGACAAACAATATTTGTGGATAGGGGACATCAAAATGTTTCTAAAAACACATAGTTAATGGGTTTCATGCCATAAATGACAGATATTTGGCCCGTTTTTGTGTATGGTCAATATTAGCGAACCACCCAGTATATTTTTTCGAAAACTGATTTACATGTTTATCTTTCGCTGCTCCCAAACAATTGACGTAATAGCTAGAAAACAATTACAGGTCCGGAGTAGATAACAAAAAATTTATACATGTTTGTGTCCCTAAAACAACACCCTGTATATCAGAATTTTCAAAATCAGTTTTGATATTTTAAAAGAGCACAAAACATTGAATTAAACAATGTACTTTTTGTAGTTTTGCATTCTATTCTACCGGGACATTTTAATCTCGAATTTACATTTTTATTATCTATTAACTAAATAAGAAAATAATCACAGCAACAGCAACCAAAAAAAAAATATAATTATTCATAATTCTCATCATCTGAATTGCAATTGTGACAAATATAAACCTCAACGTCATCTCTTTCTAAGCATTTTAAGTGGGCCCAATTTTTGCACATAATGCATTTAATCCACTTTTCTCTGGGTTCCGAATTTGAATAGGAATCGTAGCAAATTAAACAACAACATTCTAAATCATCTTTTTCATTATCTCTTTCATTGCTTTCTTCGATAACTCGCCTTTTCACTTCGCTTTTCCGTTTTTCCTGTATTCTGCCTCTTACTGAGATTTTTCCCTTGCCTTTTCCAGTTCCGTTTCCTTTGTTTTCCTTATTCTGATCTTTATCTCTTTTCCATTTATTATTAGCCTGTTCTCGTGCCAAAGCATTTTTTTCGGGTGTGTCTGTAAGAACAGCTGTTTTTCTTTTCTGTCGCCTAGAAGTAGTCAACAATCTTGATCTTGGTGGTACTTTCGGGAACGGTTTGACTATTTCTGGAGGAAATATTACATGATTTATTGTGGTTGGTATTGTTTGCGATTCTGATTTCATCGATAAGTTGTTATTAGTCAGTTCTGGAAAAGATACGGACTGTTGCACACTGTGTTGTGAATTCTCAATATTAGAGGGCCCAGACTAATCATTCAGCTCTGTTTCCAGATGAAAGTCAGCTTTAGGAATTGGCCTATCCGTAAATATGTTGGGATCGAAAGGGCATATTCCTGCCTTCTTAAATGAGTTTATGATGTTGATAGGAATTGCTGCTAAAGGCCAAGCATATTTCAGAATTTCTGTTACCTAATTCATATAAAGACATTGTCTTTCCTGGATTGTTACGGAGCCAGTTGTCTTGAGCTTTGTTGGCACAGTACGTCTTCAACGGCCCATTTACACCAACATCAAGTGGCTGAAGACGATGTGTGCAATGAAGGGGAATTGGTAACATGATAACTGAACCAGCTGAAAAAAATGTCAAAGTTTTGTTACTGAATGAAGATACGCGGCCTGCATGCACTTGTTGCTTCTGGAGTTCTTATAGCCACTTATGGGTTCCTTTTCAGGAAACCGGTGAACCAATCAGCTCCTGCTTTATGGTTTTTATGCCATGAAGCTTTCGCACTTCGTCTGGCAAGAGACCGAAGTAGATTGAGGCACATTTTAGAAGATAATCTGCCATTATCTGTTATGCTCTCGAGTGAACACCAGTCTTGGTTTGTAACCCACTGAAGGCACCTCACCAGCTTTCAGCTTTTTGATAAATCAAAATAATGTCATGTGGCAGATTTCGAGTTCTCCTGCAACTGTTTTAATTTTTTTTACGATCTTTAATAACAGAATCAGCTGCTCTGCGTAGGAGTTCCTCGAAATTTTTACCTCGTTCAGTTTTTCTCTTGTACGTACGCATCCTTAAAATGAAAAAATTGCATATCATTTATTTATCGGGTTAATTTGTGCCGAGGCACAACTAGCTCCAAAGTAAAGGAACTTTTAACCCCACATTTCATTCTCTAATCTCACTCAAATTTATTTTCAAGAGTCGAAATAAATCAAATAACGATAATGACTCAAGATTGCTGAATATTTTTACAACAATTTATTTCAAGTTGCAAATCATTATCATCAAAATTGATCGAAATAGACCTAAAAGTATAATCACAAATATATTTACTTACGTATCATTCGACGATCTCTATTCACACAGGCTAACACATGGCCACCTTGAATGCAACGTGTACCGTCCTTCAAATATATCGTTCTTTTCTGCTCGCATGAATACTCATCGGAACAATCAACTCCCGGAACTTTCAGCCCCATCTTCCCTAAATTTTTGTTTTAAATTTACTTTTTTACTGATTTAGGTTGGTTCTATATCCTTCCTCAATGTTTTGGTTAGAGTAGAAAAATTCAGCATCAAATGCATTTTAGGTATGTCATTATAACCAGTCACATACAATGACAATACAACACATTTTTCATGCATGTTTACCATGTGAAAAAAAATAGGTACCCTTGAATGTTATTTTTAATAATGTACGGCAATACGGCGAAAAATACGGTAATTTTAGATGGCCGGTACGGTAAATTGCATGAGAATTGGCGACACTGGTCCCTGCTCTATCTCTCAGATCACACAAGTCAAGATACAATAAATAAGCCAAATACATGTTTTCTGTCATGTTCATGAGTGTAATTTGATGAAATACCTAGCAATTTGGTCAGTTCAGTAGATATTTTGAATAATTATTATAACATTCTGTTTTTATATTCTTTATTCACGTTGAATAATCTGACATTTTCTCCTTCACTTTCAATCAAGAAGTTGTTCATTCTCCAACCCGTTAACTTTTACAGATTTTTTGACTTGAGTCATATTTCAAATAATGTACCTATAAAACAGTTTCATGTAATAACCTAGTTTTAATACAGATTACAATTTTATATGGTATTTGTCAAAGATATTATTATAGTATTTGTTATAAATTATAATTCCAGCTTTACCCTATTAGGCCAAAATAAATAATTTAAAAATTAAATTCGAAATTAAAATGTCACCCTTACAATCCGATGCAAAACTTAAAAAGAAATCATTGTTTAATTTAATTTTTTGAGCTCTTCTAAAATATAAAAATGGCTTCTGAAAATTCTGATATACTAGATGTCAGTCGTTTGAGTAGAGAAAAGGAAAACATGTAAAGCAATTTTTTTAAAAATCCCTGTTGTATATCTGTTTTTCTAGTTTTTTCCTCTAATTCTTTGATAATTGTCCTTAATTCTATCTCTTCTTTCTCCTAATAAGATATCATCTGCATATCTAAGGTTGTTCAGATATACTTACATTCCGCATTTCTCCTATTCATTTTCATCTGATGCTGCATTATTTGAAGTTATTTAGAAAAAGCGACTCTTTCGACCAAATTTAAAACTATTTTCAACTCATCTTTAAAAAAAATCTCAATCAAGTTCTTCTTAAACAAAGTACATTTAACCAACATAATAAAAAACCTCCATTAATGCCCCGAAAATTCCAAGAAAAGACGTATCCCGTAAGCCACACTAATGAGTCCGAACTCTCGCACCGAAACTTTTCTAAATTCCGAGAAATCGGCGCTAATCGCTCTCACTCAACTCAAAAACCGACGTTGGACACGGGATTGAGCCAATTCGAAAAAAAAAAACACACAAAGCAATTGTTATAAGAAATAAAGTCGGTACTAATTGACAGTGATCGTGCTAAGTCGACCAGAAATGGTGTAACAAGCTTTCTTGCGATACTACACCAATTTATTTGACAAGGGGGACTACTCGTTAATTAAACTGGTGGCCAGCATCTTTGAAGTCAAAAAAAAAAAACGACAACTGGACTTCGACTTAACAAAAGCATATAGTATGAGGGCTTATAATTTAATCAGGATTATTTAAAGTAGAATTGGACGTGAAACAATTAATTTTTAGGGACTTATGAAAAACTCAAAATCGATCCCACATAAAAATATTTAATGTTGTTACAAGACAACCGGTTTCAACAGTACCAACCCTATAAAACAAATATTTTTTTTATTTTGTTAACTTTTCCACATGTCGCTGAGTAGTTTTAATCTTTTTGCTATTTTCCCAATATTGCATTAAGATTTTAACTTAAGGACAGCGTCTCCTAGGAATTTCTGAACAAAATTATGTCAATTTAGATTCAATCAAGGAGGTGCTGTTACCTACCGACTAGAGATTGAATTAGTGCAAATTATTACAGAAATCTTTAAGTAACTATAAATATCGACCGACTAGCTATTAGGGGATATTGTATTATAAACCGGTTTTTAGTAGACTGAGTTCGAAGGATCCTAATAATAGTCCTGAACATAAAATCTATTTTTCAATAATTGCCGGGATTTTACCAAATAAAAAAAAAATATTTCGCAATTGTGAAATCGGTCCAATCGTTTTATA